ATCCTTTTGTAGAACCATATTCTGTTGCTTCAAATCTCGTTTTCATCTTTGATGGAATGGTCCATCATTCATCTGAGATAATGGCAAGTTGTGGAATAAGTAGGTACTCACAAGAAGGCTTGTTTTTATACCTTTACTTGCTCGGAGATAGACAACTAATTGAAGAGAGAAGGAATTGAGGATTTTTCCTTGTTTAACACATTCTTATAGAGAACGGCCAGCAATCACAAGAACAACACAAAAAAAAAAAAAATGAAGCAATATGGTTTCTCATTCTTTTAGCGAACAGCGACTTTGCCTTCTTCAGGACATACTTACAATTATTACGAGAAGAGTCAAAAAGTGTCTGTTATGAGCCGAACTATCACGTTGGTATATCCGGAAGAAGTGATTCCTGTGGGCTATAGCAGCTGAACAAGAAAGAAAAGAAGCAAGTCGAGGACTGCAGTTTCACTTGGTATTTCCGTGATGGTACGAAAGCTTCGATGCCGACTTTCATCCTGGAAGAGACATTACGTACCCCTTACGCCCACGCCTTCCCATTATAATCCCAGTGACATGCCTCAGTAGTACAATAACCTCGCTTTCTCTTTATCAGGCCATGGCCATTAATATTATCTATTAATCTGAATTTAGCCTGGCACAAGGCCATCAATTTGGAGCTCTTTAATAGAACTGAACTTTACAGTTGTAATAATTTTCCCAACCATTATCTTACAAAAACACTTTCGGTATTTACTAAGCGTAGTTTGGTTTGGCACAAGGCCATACATGTGAAGCTCTTTGGTAGGAATAAACTTCATACAGTCATAATAATCTACCCCCCCCCACATTGAGCCACATAAAAAGCGCCGTCGGTATTTACTGAACTTAACTTGGCACAAGGTCATAAATGTTGAGTTCCTTGGTAGGATAGTTATAATAATCTGTCCAACCCTTACCCCACAAAAATACACCTACGGTATTTACTGGGCTTAATCTGGCACAAGATATCGGTATTTACTAAGCTTAGAAAATAAGAAGCTTCTTCCCAAAAACCACTACTTTGTGGAAGGAGCTCCTGAGGGGATGCTTCCCTGATTGCTCTAATGTTAACCTCTTAAAGTCAAGGGTTGACCGTTATCTTTTCCAGTGGCGGACTGGGTCTAAAAACATTGGTTACCCAGGAGATAACCCCCCCACTACAATACTATCATTTTATTTTACGTACGGAATAAACAAAATCTTTAAAAATACATATAGAAAAAAAGGGTACAATTAAAATTTTAGTGGAAAAAATGTGCCTTTCTTAGTAATTACTGTGTACATGAACTGTACATATTACTGGCAGTAGATATAAAATGTTATAATTTAATTTATTTTAATTTTAATTGTCTGATATTTCAAATAGTTTATTACACAATTTATACATTAACCTTTTCGACCTTGCATTCCTGAACAATTTTAATCCTTCTGCCTGAGCTCCTGAGTCAAAATTCGCAAATAATTGGTACGTAATGTTTCACGGTAGATATAAAAATAGTTACAAGTGTTTACCCACCATTCAACCGGTGGCTGGGCATTAAGTCATTTGGTGGTCAGGACTGAAAGGGTTAACAGATAATTCAAAAACACAATAGAGCATTTGTATGCCTTTCCACTATATTAAGAACAACCGTTTGTGTTCACAAGATGATTTTGCGAATCTGCCAATAATTGTCTATATTTCTGAGATGAGGTATTATGTACATTATTTACATTATTCGGACTATTGTCCTCATCTTTGTCGCCATATTTATCTTATCACAACGTTTCGGCCGTTGTACGCTCCGGCCTTCTTCAGGTGGTTGGAATTTCGAACTGAACCCTTTATTTCGCTCACTGGGGTAGACTTTTCTAGTTCCACGTGCCATGTTTGATGGATGTCATTTATCAGTTATCTCCTGCTAATTTCCCTCTGAAAGTTCTCCACAGCCTTAACCGGGTATTGTACTCACACTCTTTGGGTCCTGTCACTGGATCTAACCAACGCCTTTATCCACTGTACCATGTGTCCTTGAGGCGACAAAGATGAGGACAATAGTCCGAATAATGTAAATAATGTACTGTCAGTAATTGTTTCTGCATCTAATTCAACCAACAATTCCTTTTCAATGGATAACAATATGTATGATTTCTAATTCTCCTTAGACAGCAAATTTCTTAACTGTGTCTTTGTGATTTTTAGCTTTGAAAATGCAAAAGATTTTATAAAGTTCTTATTCCTTTTTGTTACTAAAACACTTTCCTGTTTTTGTTTCTTTATCGCCTTTTTATTTGAGGTAGAGGGCCCACTCTATTAGAAGCCCACTCGCCATCGGGTAAACTGACACTCTGATCAAATCGGCCGCTGATCTTTCCTATATATTCTCAAAATCTGTGCTTCTTACCTTTATGTTCATAGAACAAAACCTCGTTCAGTAACCTGTACCGTCAGTGGCTCTTGCGTCTAATATATACTACATCTAACCTCCGACACGTTCAAGCCTGACTCAGGGTTCCTGGCAATACTAGCTATCTTATCAACATTTGTTTTTTTCTTCCTACATTTATATACTTTACAAATTAAACTAAGCACCACTGACCATTGAAGGATGGAAAAAAAAAATCGTGAATTTTCACATGATTCTTGTTTTGTCTAAATCCGTGAATTTTTTTGCCTATGCTAATTCTTGAAAAAAAAAAAATAAAATAAAATTCATTATTTTTTATCCATAATGTTGAATAGGTTAAAATTCTTCAACTTTTTCACAAGAAGAATCTCAAGTTGATATTAAAAATTGCTGCAAGTTTATTTAAGATGGAATGATCTGTTATGAAGTTTTTAATTTGTATTTAGATACATTGTATTTATTTTCAATTTTTCTAGTTGAACTGTTCTATATTGTATATGATCCATTACTGTACATAATTAAACATTTTAAGAATAAAAATGTCAAGTTGATATTAAAAACTACATCAAAACATTGTTGTTTGATTTAAGATGGAATGATCTGTTATGAAATTTTTATTTGTATTTAGATATATTGTATTTATTTTCAATATTTCCAGTTGAATTGTTCACCTATATTGCTTATGATCCATTATTGTACATAATTAGGTTACAATAAAATTTGTATTTTATATAAATACTACCTTATCAAAATTGAGATGTAGCAGGGTGGGTCGTCCCATATTATAGATTCGTGGGTGCATGAGATTTTTGAACCGACCCTGCTTATACTGGTTGAACAATTAATAAAAAAAAGTTTACTTTTGCACAATGCCGTAAGCGCATTGGCTACAAGAGCATTTTGTAAACTATACACATCTTTTCAGAGCGATCATTTTATCGATTAAATAAATCTAAAAATTGCCTCACATCGTTTGCCGTAATAATTTTCTGTTAAAACGGCTTTGACATGGGACACGTCTGGGAGAATCGACGCCCACCAGTCTCGTATGAAAGTAGCCGCGAATGAATATTTTTAAAGATTGAGTTCGTTCTAGATTGCGCTTACGGGTATGTAGGACGTATCAAATTGCTTAAAAAGATAAATCATTTTGGGAGAAGAGAGAAAATCTTTCTAGGAACAATGTCTACCAGAATAAGTTGAAAGCCGGATAGGTAAGAGAAGGAAAAGAAAAGAAGAGTAGATGGTGAAAGAAAGAAAGAAAGAAAGAAGAAGAGTGGCAACGTTAAAGAGATGAAGACAAAGAAAAGAGAGAGAGGGGGTAAAATGATTTGGAAGAAAGAAAATTCAGGTGATTACAGAAAGCGAGAAAATTAGAGTAAGAAATAAAGGAATAAATATGAAGAGGAAGAGAAAGAAAAAAATAAAGAGAGAGGGAGAGAGACAGAGAGTGTCAAGGAAAAAGTACGAAAAATAAAAGCGAAGAAGATGGTGAGGAAAACATAATGCCGAGGAAGATGAAGTAAGAAAAAGAAAGAAAGAATCAATAATAATAATAATAATAATAATAAAATAAACAAAATGATTGACGTAACTGTTCCAATATTTTTCAACAGTTAAGAAAGAACGCGATTTAGGAAAAAAAGAAAAAAGAAGAGAAAATACAGTTTTTGAAAATGCTAAACAATATTTCGATAGAATGTCTGTCTTCTTCAAGTTATATTTAAAGAATTTTTTCAAGTATAAAAATATATAAATCTACAAAAAAATTACAAGTCTTTGTACAAATGTTGTTTGTCTTGTAATTAAAAAAAAAAGGCTAACCTGGTAATGAATGCATCAAAATGCATGAAACACCGCCATCATGAAGGCATGCAACTGAAACATGCTTAATAGGATGGTGATCTTGTTAGTCTTGGAATTTTCCGTCAGTTGATTAGTTTATTAAGAGGAATTACTCAAACAGCTTAGTATAAATCTAATGGAACTCTCCTGTCATTCTGTGCATTCCTCTGCAGCGGGAAGTTAGTAATTTGCATACGTAACTAACCTCACGAGTTTTAAGGGTTGAATGGTTGGTAGATTCTGAGTCAAGCTCCGTTGATGTCATGTATTTATTGTGTTGAATATTGTTTATTGTTTCGTTGTCAAACACTGTTTTTTTTTTTCTTTATCTTTTCTTAAATCGCACTCTACTCTTAACTGCTGTAATGCATTATTATTATTATTATTACAATAATAATAATAATAGTAATAATAATAATAATAGCGACCAATTTTAAAGGAACCATCCGTAAAAGCAATTGAAAAAAAGGTAAAAAGAAATTTTGTAAAAGATAAAATGGCGAGTTTTAATGGGGTAAGATAAAAAATATAACTGGTTTTAATGGATTAAAACAAAAAAATAACAATTTTTAATGGAACAGATAAAAAAACACAGCTACTTTTAATGGGGTTGGGTAAAAATGATGATTCTTAATGGAATTAGATAAAAATAATAACTTTTAATGGGCTTAGATAAAATAATAACTTTTAATGGGGTCAGATAAAATTCCGTCTTTTAATGGGATTAGATAAAAAAAGATATTTTCAAGGAGAAAGTTGCAAGAAAAGACCAAAACATAGTGAAAGAAGAACGAAAGTTGCAAGAAAAGACCAAAACATAGTGAAAGAAGAACGAAAAATAAAAGAACCAGAGTGAAAATTAAAATCATGTAGAAAAGATGACAAGGGAGAAGAGGCAAAAAGAAGAATTTGAAAGAAAGAAAGAAAGAAAGAAAGAAAGAAAAATGAGAAATTGACGAAGAAAGAAAAAAAATTAAAAAGAGGAGGAAGAAACTATAACAGAGAGATGGGAAAGGGTTAAATAAAAAGCAAAGAACAAAAAAAACTCAAAAACACGATTAAGGGAAAAAAGCAATTAAATAGAGAAATAAGAGAAATAATACGTGAGAGAGAGAGAGAGAGAGAGAGAGAGAGAGAGAGGGGGGAAATAACTGATGACTTGAGAAATTGCAGAAGAAAGAAAGAGTAAAGAACGGATGAATTAAGAATTTGCGGGAGAAGTGAGAGAGAAAGAAGAGAAAAGAGAGAGAGAGAGAGAGAGAGAAAAAACGGATAAACCGACAAATTGAGAAATAAATAAAGACAGACAGACACACAGACAGAAAGAAAGAAAGAAAGAAAGAAAGAAAGAAAGAAAGAAAGAAAGAAGGGAGAAACCGAGAACTGGGAAGGAAAGAAAAAGAAAGAAGGCGGAAACTGAAAACTGAGAAAGAAAGAATGAATAAACTAAGAAAGAAAGAAAGGAGAAACTGAGAAAAAAAGAAAGAAAGAAAGAAAGAAAGAAAGAAAAAAGAAAGAGAAACAAAGTAAAAAAGAAAGAAAGAATGAATATATCTACGGAAGAAAGAAAAATGGATAAACTGAAAGAAAAAAGAGAGAAAGAAAGAGTAGATACAAAAGAAAGAAAAAGGAAAGAATTTATTAAGAAAGAAAGCAAGAAAGAAAGAAAAAAGAAAGTATGAATGGGCAACCTGCGAAAGAAAGAAGGAATTTAAACGCTAAGGAAAGCGATGGGAAGTCGAAACTAAGAATGAAAGATGGTAGACAGAAGAAGTTGGGTAAATCATTCTGCTTCCAGAATGTTATGGCAAATCGCTCCCGCAGCTGAGACAAAAGGAATTGGCGCTCTGCCATTAGCAACAAAGCCATCAACATTGTCGAAAGTCTATAAAAATGTCATGCTGGACAAGATCAAATTAGAATCTATAAACACACATACACACACACTTTTTATTTCCGTCTCTCTTTATTTCTCTTTACCACGCCTATCTACTACCTCCATTTACATCCTCTTTCTCTCTCAGGTATCAAACTTATAATTTAACGTCCAAAATGGCGGAATAACTTACGTATGGATAAATTAGGGAAGCTAGTGTAAAGAAAGCTAACCAAATGAAATACGTGGCTTCTTGCAAGTTAATTCTATTAATTAGAATTATTTAATAATCAGTAATGAAACGTTGCTTTCATACGAGGGGGCGCTGAAAAGTTACAAAATATTTGTTTTCCTGGGATTCTTTGCAAGACAGAGAATGGTTGTTTACAACCGTTTTCTCAAATCAATGTTTAAAAACAACGGCTTCGAGCGAATTAAGCCTGCAGATCTTAGCAAGGATCAACCTTCTTTGAACCTTGTAAACTGGCGCTACATAATCACAAACAAAGAATTGTACCAAATGACAGAAGCCACATCACTTGAGCACATTCAACAGCAGCAGAAACTAAAATGGTAACTCGAAGAGAAAATAATGATATAATTGAGATATTGACGTTCCACACTACTTCAAAGAAAAGGTTAGAAATAAAGATTCTTATGAACACTGGAAAGAACTATAACAGTTAGCGGACTTGAGATACCTATTTTCTTGAAAAATTGTTTTAAGAGAAAGATTGTGGAAATTTCATCCCACGGCAACACTGGCTGATAAGGAAACAAATAATATTACAATTACAATTACTATTGGTCAAAACTCAACAGTCAACTTCGCGAGAATCATCCTTCTTTTATTTTCAATGATTAAATAAATGATCAACGATTTAAAATGTCTTCAAGCCTGTAGGTCTTAGCTAGGACCATCCTTGTAAACTGGCGCTACATAATCACAAACAAAGAACTGTACCAAATGACAGAAAGCACATCACTTGAAGATATTCAGCAGCTGAAACTAAAATGGTAAATCGAAGAGAAAATAATAATATAATTAAGTTGTTGACGTTTCGCACTATTTCAAAGAAAAGCTTAGAAATGAAGACTTTTGTAAATACTGGCAAGAACTATAACAGTTAGTGGTCTTGAGATAACTATTTTCTTGAGTCATAGTTTTAAGGGAATGATTGTGGAAATGCTGAATGTTTTCAGATGAGGAAACAATATTAACATTATAATTACTATTGGTCAAAAATCAACAATCGACTTCACGAGAATCACCCTTCTTCGAACCTTGGGATCTGGCGCTACATAATCACAAACAAAGAATTGTAACAAATGACAGAAGCCACATCAATTGAGGACTTTCAACAACAGCAACAACTAAAACTGTTTTAGAAATACCTTAGGAATTTCAAGCGAAAGTAAAATTGTCTTCTCGGTCAATGAACAGTGAATGTTTCCTTATAAGGAAAAAGCTAATTCAGTCAGTTATGTGCCATTCGTAATAAACGTTTAGGCGATCATGTATCTTTTGATACATGACTAACGAGGCAGATTTTTTTCCGGCACTAGGTTGCCATTTCTTTTTGCGGTAGACCAGTTGCCATTCAAGGCTATAGAAACGGTCTGTCCTGCTATTTACCCATAGCTGGGAGGAGGAAAAGAGGATTCATACCTTTCCCAAGGGTATTAGCACGTAAGTGAATGTAATGATTCGACTGGAATTCGAACTCGGCTCTCCGATTCCTCAATAATTACATTACCAAAGAGTTATCAATACTCTCGGTTGAAATTTATAAAATCTTTTTCTTTTTTTCACCTCAACCTCAATTTCATCTCACGCAAGGCAGTAAAGCCACTAAGACAATAGATAGCGATTGACATTGTATTTAAATTTTTGGAAACAGTTTTCAGGAAATTACACATTTTTATAGTTCCTTCACAGAGACTTAGACATTGGCATGCAACCGAGATATATGAAGGGAGCTGGTCAGCTGCTCAGGCGCACAGCGACCTTACGAACACATCCGGCCATGGGAGTGATGATTAAAAACAGTAAGTTAACTATTATAACTGGGCGTTACTTTTCCGTAGTGTGTTTGATCTTCACCAGGTGCTCACGACTATAACCTTGAACCAGACCATATTAATCTCGGTTAACTATTTCTCTACATCCCCTCCGAAAACGAATGTTTTTTTAATCCCTTCACCCAAAGGAAGCCACTAGGATGCAAGGGAATACTAAGTGTGAGATAATATGAGGGAAAAAAATTATTATCACAGGTAGGATTTATTAAACAGACTCATCAAAACCTTCATTTTTTTAGTACCCCCCACCCAAACAAGGCGACAAAGCCACTAAGATGCAAGGGGTTACTGAGTGTGGAAGAATCAGAAATAAAAAAACACTATTAAGGAGAGAGGTTAATAAAAGAACAAGAATTAAGAAGACAGGAGATAATGATTGACATTACACTCAAATTTTTGAAAATCAAAATTGACTGTGAAGCAAGAAGCTGAAAGACAGTTCCACAAACGAGAAACTCGAGAGAAGAAACTGTCAACATAGAACTTACGGTTACATTTAGCCATTTCAACTGTGAAATGATGAGACCTAGTCGTCAAACTATTACCGCGCTTAAATTCATAAAATCTAAGTATCATAGAAGAAAGTATTATTTATTTTGTTATAATACAAAAATATAGCACAAGGCCAAAAGGGGGGATAGGAGAAGGTTGGTCTTCAAACTGTCTTAAACTTAGCTAGTTACGACTACCACAGCATTCCTTACATCAAAACAACACATTCTAACTTATCTTTCTTACTACAGTCACCATAATACCTCTCAGTCTCTATGTAGTCATAAGTAGTTCGCATATGTACAATTTGTCTGGGGGTGGTAGATAAAAATAACAACATTTAAAAATGAAAACCCCAATGAATATAATTTATATACAAGAAACTAAACAAAATAGTGTTACTAATACACCGCCCCCACCACAATCATTAACTGTGGTAGAAAAATCAGTTAACTGGGCGAAATTAATGCGGGACTACGTAATCAAAAACAATCAATCGAACACTCACACATCCAGACACAAGAACAAATACGATACACACACTCGAAAAAGGAAATGCGCCCCGCATCTACCAGAGAACTGACATCTCTGTCACCTAATGGGGAAAAGGAAGGAGAATTAAACTGAAGAAAGTGGGAACAGAAATACAAGAAGCCAATGAGCATACATGTATCATAGGTGGTGGAAAAGGGACTGAAACAGAGATGTCAGGTCAGGACTTGTAACATTTCAGACTCTTCTTTGTATTTTATCTAGAATCTCTAAATACTTACCAATTCTTTACAAAGCCAGGTGTTAGGAAGAGTGTTTTTCCCCAATCTTCCAAGTAGAAACTTAACTTTTATGTATCACTGGTAGTGGTGAGGAGCACGCAGTGAAACCTGCAATCACGTTAGGCCCAAACTCGCATTGTAAATGTCATCAGACCTCTTCTGGGGTGTCGGTTGGGGTGGTAGGGGTAGCGGTAAAAACCCCACACACAACGATCTTCACAGCCAAGCGCAACTCAATTACTCACGTGATGATTTATAAAAGATAGAATAAACATCCTTTTAGGATAAACGCTTGACGCCCTTTGCTGTCTGCAATCTTCGCATTCCACCGAAGAAAGGTCATCTTGAAAACTGGAATTTTAACAGACTATTAAATAAATTTGACTGATAAAAATTCCGTTATTGAAAAATATCGAATGTGTTTTTACCTGTGGAAATTTCACAGGACGACTTTGTGGTTAAAGAATAGGTAAACCTTTTAAGAATATATATATATATATATATATATATATATATATATATATATATGTATGTGTGTGTGTGTGTGTGCGCGTGCGTGCGTGTGTGTGAAGAAATATGGTTTTAAGGTGTGCTATACTTATGGGATAATGTGTTCAATATCAGAGATAGAGCATATGTAGATATTCGCGCCCTGGCAATTGCGCCTAGAATGAAACAGCCTGTCGCCTCTGAGTGTTGACTTCAATGTTCACTTTTATATATATATATATATATATATATATATATATATATGTGTGTGTGTGTGTGTGTATGCATATATATATATCCGTGTGTATGTAATATAGATGTGTGTGTGTGTGCATATATATATATATATGTGTGTGTCTGTGTGTATATATATATATATATTGCTAGCAATCTTCAAAATTTAAATGCAATGTTAATTGCTCTCATCCGTCTTCATGAAGACTGCTTTCTAATTATCTTCCACTGCCAGCATCCTCATGCATCTAAATGGCATTAACGCGAAACGGTGTGAAATGATTATATCTATCTATCTATCTATCTATCTATCTATATATATATATATATATATATATATATATATATATATAATAAAAAGGCTTAAACACTAATATTCCATGGTCATAATTTATTCCATTGGAATCGTAAATACGATTCAATTCATCAGACCTATAAATTCAAAAACCTTTTTGAATTTGTAGGTCTGATCCTTAATCTGTCCGGGACATTGAGTTCTACCTGGATTCTAACCTCTTGGAATTTTTTTATTAAAAAAAATATCTATGTATGTGTATGCATGTATGTATATATATTTATATATGCTATATATTTAGAGATTCATGATAAAATCCAAAAAAGAATCTGCTATGTTATTGTTCTTAGCCTGGCATCTCGGCTTCAGTCACTTTTCCACCGCCGTAACGTAGCTTCCCCGTGGTTTTTCTATAAATACTTTCATGGTAATTATTCATGTAATTATTCTGATGAGCTTTTCGCTATGGTACCTAGACTTTATGAATTTAAACGCAGCACTAGATTGGCAACAAGGTCGCATCAATTCACAGTTGAATTAGCTAGA